AAGGTTGAAGTGCAAATTCTGCACAATCAGCACGTCGTTCATCATGATGTGCGTCCTGCTCCCTCTTGCCTTGAGAACCACGATTCCTTGCGCGCTAGCGCGCAGTCGTGTGTTGTTCGCCACGGTGACATAGGTCACTGTGGGAGTGGGGGTAGCGTTGGATATGTAACGCTCAGAGCCCTCCATATGCTGCCCACAGTAGCTATCCAGGTACCACGTGTTGTAGCGCCTGTTGTCGTTACGTGCGAGCAGCGCCAGTCGCGGGGTAACGATATGCTGTGTGTCAAACTTGAGAAATTTTTCGCGCGAGATCCAATCAATCGGAGCCACTCGCGTATCAGGTATATGCGGGGACTTTCAAGCAGCGGGACTGGGAGATTCCAGTCTTGGTTGTCGTCGTCGCTGAAATCGTGGCGAGTGCTGAACGGGTTGTTGTTCGAGAACGCCCCGATTGGGTGGCGTGCTGGCTCAGGTGACGACGTGCGCACGCGGGGACGACGCGACCCGCTTGTCATGGTCATGTTGCCGATGGCGTTGCGGATGGGGGCAGTCTGTGACGGCTGCCGCTGCTGATGCTGAACCGCTGGGTTCAGGTTGCGCGATGGGGATTGGTGCCCCTGGGCTTGCGTGTCGTTTCGTGCATCTTGTCGGCCGAACCAGGTGCTCGGATTGGTCTGGCGAGGGCAAGATTGGAACTTGCATCGATATGCCAAATGCCCGAAGTTTCTGCAGATTTTGCAGTAAAGACGCCGCGGCCGCCGCTCTTCTGTGTTGTCTGCGTAGAAGGCGAGAAGTTCCCGGTCTCGTCGCGCCACTGGTCGCTGCTGATCCATATCCCTTTGTTCAACGAGAAGGGCGGCGCATAGGGCGGCTTCCGAGATAACCCCCTGCTGTTGGAGAAGCGCCTTGCCGGGCTGCCATTCTGGGTCGAGCCCTTGAAGCACGATGTTCACAAAGATTTCTTCGGAAATACTGCTTCCCAACTTCGCGGTTTGATCGCGTAAGCTCCGACAGCGGTTAATGTAGCTGTTGGCCTTCTCCCCTGGGGCCATTTTTTTCTCCAGTAGCTGCTGGCGCAGGCGGCTCGATGAAACCGAATCTTTCGGCTGGTATACGACGTTCAGGTGGCGCCAAGCGTCGAGGGCTGGAGCAGATGTTGTCTTGTACGATCGAATGCTCAGCTGCTCCGCCGGCGACATGTTCCGCAGCAGGATGCCGTACGCCATCAACGACCCGTTATAATATTGAGCCCTGGCGCCAGCGGTGTCTTCAGCGGGTCCCGAGTAGCTCCCGTCAAAGTAATGGAATGTCTGCGCGTTCTGCAGCACAAGCTCCAGCTCGAAGCTCCACGTATAGAAATCTCTGCCGTCAAAACACACACTTGTGCAGAGAGAATTGCTTCTTCGCTGGGACGGGGAGTCTTGGGAGTTGAGCCATGTGTGTCGAGGGAGAAGGTATTCGGGGCGGTATTATGACCATTCGAGGTCGGTTGAGAGGGTTGGGAAGAAGTTCACGCGTCGCCATTCCGCAATGTTTGGAGTCCTTGCTCCAAGCTGGTGAGTCGCTGAAGCAGTTGTGCGAGAACGCCGGTTCCAATCGTCGTCGTTTCCTCGCTTGTCGCAGCCGGATTGGGCTGCGCTTCAGTCGTCAGATTCGTCTGACTGTCAGAATCCTAGCTAGAGCTCAGTAGCCATAGCTAGGGTTTAGGGTATACGAAAGAGAAATGGAAGAAGAGGGTTGAACTAGAAAGGAGAGGGATACAAATAGCAAGCCCAAAAGGGTTATACACACTATTGAGTACCCCACTACAGACTAGACAAGCATAATATTCTGACACACCCCCATAGTCAAAGTGGGGTATAATCAGCACAGCAAGCAGTCATAGAGCAGGTTCACCAGTACAAGCAAAGCTAGAGGCATTCACAAAGGGCAAGTGAGGAGGAGGAGGCTGGACTGTGAGAGGAGAGGAGATAGGAGGCGACGGCTGAAGCTGCAGACACACGGGCAACAGGAGCGGCGCGCACGGTGGCTACCGGAGCAAGGGCCCCGGACTACAGGAGTAACTGGCTCTGCGGCTAACTCTGAGCGGCAGGAGCAACGGACCCACGGGCGACAGGCGCAGCAGGCTCTCTGGGCTACCAGCGGCAGAGCCCCGGACTACAGGTGCTGCAGACGACAAGACGGCAGCCTCCGCTCAACCTCCCCCAACTGTCCCACCCCCCTTTCACACACCCCTTGCTGCACCCCTAGCTCCACTCCCACGTCACCCCCCTAGCACCACTCCTTCGGCTCCCACACACCCACCCCCCTCAGCGGCAGCTGCAGCAGTGGGAGACGGAGGAGGAGGAGGAGCAGGGGACGGTTCACACACCCATACCCGGCACCCCCATACCCCCAACGCAGGGCAGAAACGCGGGCAGCAGCTGGGGCGGCGTGTGAGCGGAAGCGGGGTGGCGCGTGGGCCCCTAGGGCGCCTCGACGAGCGACGGGAGGGGGCGACGCGCGGGCCCCCAGGGCGCCGCGACGAGCGACGGGAGGGGTGACGCGCGGCCCCCCAGGGCGCCGCGACGGGCGACGGGAGGGGCGACGCGCGGCCCCCCAGGGCGCCGCGACGGGCGACGGGAGGGAGGGGGCGACGCGCTGGCCCCCAGAGCGCCGCGACGGGCGACGGGCAGGGCAACGCGCGGCCCCCCAGGGCGCCGCGACGGGCGACGGGAGAGGGGGGGGCGACGCGCGGGCCCCCAGAGCTCCGCGACGGGCGACGGGCAGGGAGACGCGCGGCCCCCCAGGGCGCCGCGACGGGCGACGGGCAGGGCAGCGCGCGGGCCCCCGGGGCGCCGCGTGAGGCAGTAAACCGCCGCGCGCCTCGGGGCGCACGGCGGGCAGAAAACCGCCGCGCGCCCCGAGCGCGCGGCGGGCAGAAAACCGCCATGCGCCCCGAGCGCGTGGCGGGAAGAAAAAACGTCGCGCGCCACGGGGCGCGCGACAGACAGGATAGCAGCGGAAGCAGGTGGGCCCACAGGCCAAGAGCGAACTCGCTCTGATACCATGTCAGAATCCTAGCTAGAGCTCAGTAGCCATAGCTAGGGTTTAGGGTATACGAAAGAGAAATGGAAGAAGAGGGTTGAACTAGAAAGGAGAGGGATACAAATAGCAAGCCCAAAAGGGTTATACTCACTATTGAGTACCCCACTACAGACTAGACAAGCATAATATTCTGACACTGACCACCAGATCCATCGGCCAATCTTACACGCGAGCGTGTGTCGGACGCCACTTTTCGTTCGCCGAAGATTTCGGGGTGGCAGTGCGAAGGATTCCCGAGCCGCTCTCATACAATGCTGCGATCAGAAGTTAACAGACCCTAGGATCACCTCACGAATGTTCGCACACAATTGAGTGGTAGTGGTGGGCCCTTGACCTCAATTTAGAGTGGATGTAAAATGATTGAGATGATTAAAACATGCAAATACAAATATATAAATAAGAGTACAAGATGGAATACGAAACGACCTAGCTAGCCATGTACTCTAAGGGGTATATTCCCTTATTGCAGCGAAATCCAACAGTGCGACTCCCGACGGTTACGAAACTGTCCGGGCAGAATCCTCGCCACTGTTCCTGCCTGATGCCGTCTACCTTGACGGTCCAGATGCTTCGTAACCGTATGACCCTTTGCGTCACTTTCGTCCTTTCGTCTTCAGCCTCGGTACTGCATGCTTCGTTTGCTACTGTCTGGAGTGCACAATAACACTTCATCTTTTACTATTCGTAACAATTTAGGCCAGGGCCCAGGTCTGAAGCAATGCATTGGAAGCAACATTTCATGTTGAAGCAACTCGTTTTTTTTTTCACATAAGGTACACCACACATGAGTTTTGCAACAAGCTAGAAAACTTTTGTAACAGTCTAAAGCTATACGAAAGTTCTGAAGTAGATTCAACAGCACAAAGCGGAAGATGAACCGGCCCTTGCACAATCTGCAATTCGCCTTCCAATCTTGGCCTCCGCTGGGCCTCCTCGTCACCTGCAAAAGCCTGCCATTCTATTTGCGCCCCCCTCGTCCATCCCACAATTCGCCCCACGTGCGCCCCGACCGATCCGCCTCTTCACTCCGATCGCACAGATTCCCGATCAACCCACTCCCCCTGTCTGTTTCTCAACCCTAACTTCTCGTAGGCCCAGAATAGCGTGCGGGTATCAACAGCCCGTGTGAGGTGTCCGCGCCACTATCATGCTAACAAGCGCCGACGACTCCAAACCCCAGCGCGCGAGTGCAGCAACTTCTCCGCTGCAGCGCGCCGATGCCGCGGAGTCTCGGCGGCGTCATCGCGGCGACACGCAGGTCTCGCTGCAGGTGTCGAGTGATACAAGAGTGTAGTATTACTACATTAGTACATGCAGAGAAACCCATGTCAACTCACGCAACTGACCGCTATACTAGTCACGCAACTGTGCGCGAGCCACTCGACAACCGCCACTCGCGACCGAATCTCCCTCATTTAACCGTCGGCTGTAAACTAGAGCCGTCTCCGCCTCGTTGCGCTTGCGCCTCTCCTCTCCGCGCGGAAACTCGCCGGTCGTTGCGCCGCAGCTCCGCGTAAACTCGCCAACCGTTCTCCCCCCGTTATCGCCTTCACCTCGGCCGAAACTGCTCCCATACCCCCTCGAATCTCGAGCCGATACAATGCCTCGACTTGTTGCGCGCCTGCGCGACAGGAAACAGCCAATAAGATAGCGACGTGCGCGGACGCATGAGTGACGCGGCGCGTGAGCTCAACGAGTCGAATGTTGCGCGCTGCCCTCAGCATGTTGGGCCCGCGGAGGGGTATAAATTCAGCAAGGGTGAGCAGCTTCATCCACACCATTTCGACGAGTCATTCGTTTAGCAAGGCGTTCCTCCTGCAGCAGGAGCTGCTAGCGTTCTAAGCTGCTGTCCCCACTGAGGAAGTATTTTCTTGCTCAACCGGCGTCGCTTTGAGAGAGGACTGCGGAAAGAAATGGCCATGCGCATGCGAGGTGCGGTTGTCGCGAGCAGCGGGTTCGCCGCGCTGCTGGTGGCGTGCCTGCTGAGCGCAAGCGGGCCGAACTTGGCCTCGGCGCAATGGGACTGGACCTCGCAGCTGCTGCCCAACTACAAGGCGCAGGCTCAGACGGTCATGCGGCTGGCGGCGATAAGTCTGAATCAGACGTATTATTCCAGATTCACCCAGCTCTTCGCCAGCTACTGTGAGTTCTCAACCCTTCTGAACCGCTCTGTACCCATTTCCAGTCCAATCCGGGCGGCTACTCATTGACCAGGATGCAGGAAGCGACCCTTCTCATCCCCGCCAGCGACGACCACTTTCTCTGCCTCACTCAGTGTCTAATTGCTCTCATGCCTTCCTATCTACTCCTATCCCACTCCCCCCCTTCTCCACCCCACTCCTCCTAACCCCATCCGCCCTCGTGCAGTCAAGTCCGGGGATCTGGTCATCGATCAGGATGCAACCATCCTCATCCCCACCAATGGAGGCCTTTGGCGCTGCCCAAAAGCAAGAAATTTTTACAACCTCACCCGCAATCAGAAGCTCCGGTTCCTCCGTTACCACATTCTCAAGGGCCGTTACCTCGCGTTGGATATCAATACCGCCGCTCCTAACACGCTCTTCCCGACTTTCAATCAGAACCTGCCACTCAACAAGACTTCTAATACGATCTGGTACACGTATTTAGATACGGTTCCACAGAGGGTTGTGGCGAACCAAGGGTACCGGTATTCGTATACTGGGGTGGAGGTACCAAATGCGGGGTTGGTGAAAAACATCGCTGCACAAGGAGTGTCATGGTGCCTCGACCCGCCCAACCTCTGAGCCTTGTATTCGCGCAGCAAGAGGCACTATCCAGTTCAGTAGCAAGTCAAAGAGCCATTGGTTTTGGAGTGTAGAGGGGCCACAATAAACCAGGGATTGGCAGGAGGAATGGGGTGAGTGATGCCGGATGGATGTTGTAATGTTTGTGAATAAAAAAAGGGACTCCACTCCACTCATGGATTGTCATTGTTCGATAGTACAGTGCAAGAATCTTTCTGCTATGGACTTCGAAGACTCCTTAGTTTGATCAAATGCATTTGTAACAAATAAAGATTGATTGCTGGACAATTAAACAAGAGCCTTAACGAGAGCCGTGAGAACCAATTTGCACAGAGGGCCAAAAATCAATAATAGAAGCTACCTCAGTGTGCTCATCTCCAGAATACGGTGGGAGGGTCTAAAGAGTAGAGATGCACGGAAAGCTAGTGGAAGAATACGGTGGTATCACCACGACGATGACCTATACAGGATGGATGACCCGTGGGAAGCAATGAATGGCGGGTTGTACATGCAGGAAACGGCATTGTTCCCCTCCCCCATAGTACACCCGAGTGGCGAAATCCAACTGTGAACTCCACTGCACTGCAAGCTCCCCAGCAGATGAGAGCAACAGGTGCTAGTCGAACAGGTGCTAGTCGAACAGGTGCTAGTCGAACAGGCGCTAGTCGAACAGGTGCTAGTCGAACAGGTGCTAGTCGAACAGGCGCTAGTCGAACAGGTGCTAGTCGAACAGGTGCTAGTCGAACATGTATATCCGCGAGGCAATGTCAGTCACAAGCCACTCGAATCCCCCCAGCACCCCCTCGCCAGTCTTGGCACTGCAGGGCACGAGGTGGCAGTGCCGCCTGCCCTCCGCCAGGGCCTTCAGACCCAGCACCTGGGGCAGCGCGTGGGAGAGGGGGCGGGGCATCACATGAATCAGACGAGACCTGCTTTGAAGTTTGAACCCCGGCTTCACACAGAGCCTACGGGCGTGGTGAGAGGTGAAGCAGCATGGCGACAGACAGGCACATCCACATACTTGTATGCGCCACGTTTGGGTGTAGATCGGAAGACCACCTCTCTCACCCTCTCTCCGGCCACCTCTCCCACCCTCTCTCAGCAACCCTCTCCCCCCCTCTCCGCCCACCTCGCTCATCTCCTCGGTGCTGAGAGCGCCCGGCAGGTCCTGCTTGTTGGCCAGCACCAGCAGAGACGCGCCTGCCAGCCTCTGGTGGGGCGGACGCGGACGGGAGCAGAGGCAGGCAGTCGAGAACCATGTGTTGAGAAAAACAAGATTCCAACAGCAGTAATGTCTCACCTTCCCCCTCCCACGCCTCCCCTCCCTCCCCTCCATCTCCCGCTCCCTTCCCCCCGCACCTCCTCCAGCAGCACGCGCTGCAGCTCATCTCACCTCCTCCAGCAGCACGCGCTGCAGCTCATCTCACCTCCTCCAGCAGCACGCGCTGCAGCTCGTCACGGCAGTCGGCGAGGCGGAGGCGGTCGCAGCTGTCGACGACCCACACGAGTCCGTCGGTGCGCTCAAAGTAGTTGCGCCAGTACGCGCGCAGCGTGCGCTGCCCACCCACGTCCCACACGTTCAGGTTGAACCTGCCGCGCCCAGGGGAGTGGGGCGTGGGGAGGGCGAGGGAACGGAAGCAGGAGAGGAGTCAGGGGCAGTGGTGGGCAGAGGAGCGAGGGGCAGTGGTGGGCAGAGGAGCGAGGGGCAGTGGTGGGCAGAGGAGCGAGGGGCAGCGGTGGGCAGAGGAGCGAGGGGCAGCGGTGGGCAGAGGAGCGAGGGGCAGCGGTGGGCAGAGGAGCGAGGGGCAGTGGTGGGCAGAGGAGCGAGGGGCAGTGGTGGGCAGAGGAGCGAGGGGCAGTGGTGGGCAGAGGAGCGAGGGGCAGTGGTGGGCAGAGGAGCGAGGGGCAGTGGTGGGCAGAGGAGCGAGGGGCAGTGGTGGGCAGAGGAGCGAGGGGCAGTGGTGGGCAGAGGAGCGAGGGGCAGCGGTGGGCAGAGGAGCGAGGGGCAGCGGTGGGCAGAGGAGCGAGGGGCAGCGGTGGGCAGAGGAGCGAGGGGCAGCGGTGGGCAGAGGAGCGAGGGGCAGTGGTGGGCAGAGGAGCGAGGGGCAGTGGTGGGCAGAGGAGCGAGGGGCAGTGGTGGGCAGAGGAGCGAGGGGCAGTGGTGGGCAGAGGAGCGAGGGGCAGTGGTGGGCAGAGGAGCGAGGGGCAGTGGTGGGCAGAGGAGCGAGGGGCAGTGGTGGGCAGAGGAGCGAGGGGCAGTGGTGGGCAGAGGAGCGAGGGGCAGTGGTGGGCAGAGGAGCGAGGGGCAGTGGTGGGCAGAGGAGCGAGGGGCAGTGGTGGGCAGAGGAGCGAGGGGCAGTGGTGGGCAGAGGAGCGAGGGGCAGTGGTGGGCAGAGGAGCGAGGGGCAGTGGTGGGCAGAGGAGCGAGGGGCAGTGGTGGGCAGAGGAGCGAGGGGCAGTGGTGGGCAGAGGAGCGAGGGGCAGTGGCAGAGGAGCGAGGGGCAGTGGTGGGCAGAGGAGCGAGGGGCAGTGGTGGGCAGAGGAGCGAGGGGCAGTGGTGGGCAGAGGAGCGAGGGGCAGTGGTGGGCAGAGGAGCGAGGGGCAGTGGTGGGCAGAGGGCGGATCCGGTGTGACTTCCCTCGCGCCCTTGTGCACTTCCTTCCCCCCCACCCGTTCCGCCTTCCCTCCCACACGCCACGTGCTTTACCCTCAATATCCTGCTTCTTTCCTCCAGAACCAGCCTCCCCCCCTCTCCCCCTCGCCCCCTTCGCCGCTCACCCTTTGTAGCGCAGGGTGGTGATGCTGAACCCCAGCGTGGGCCCCACCTGCGACGTATCCTGGCCGTTGAATCGCATCACGATCGTTGTCTTGCCCGCGTTGTCCAGCCCCCTGCCAGCAAACGAAGGGGCGCGCGGAGACGACAGAAGGAAACGAGAAGCGGTAGAGGAGGAGCGCGAGGGAGAGAAGGGGCGCAGGGGAGAGAAGGGGCGCGCGGAGTTGGTATGACGGGCCGCAAGCATGCGAACCTGCGTCGTCGCATAAAGATTTAGGAAGAGGGAAATATCAGCGTGTGGCAGCGGCAGCGGCACGTACACCATGAGGATGCGACGTACACCATGAGGATGCGACGTACACCATGAGGATGCGACGTACACCATGAGGATGCGCATCTCGCGCTCCTTGCGCTTCAGCTTGCGGATGATCGTCAGCAGCACCATGATGCCGCCCCCGCACACGCGCCGGCCTCAAGGTTCAAGTGCACTGCCGGGCAGGACGGCCCGCGGCGGATGTTTCGCGTCACTGGAGCGGCGCATCGGGCATCGCGGAGTGCGACCGACGAGCTTCGCGAAGCGCTGGCGACGGCGGGATGAGAGGGGGAGGCGACGGCGGGATGAGAGGGGGAGGCGACGGCGGGATTAGAGGGGGAGGCGACGGCGGAGCGAGAGGCGACGGAGGGGCGAGAGGTAGAGGTGACAGAGGGGAATCTCTCAGCGGAAACGGGTCGTCAGCTCCGTCGACAACCTGACGACCTGCTCGAGGAGAAACCGAACTCATTCGGGCATGCATCCGGTCAGGGAGGCATCAACCCTAAACACAGGGAGGCATGGTGTTTAGGGTTGATGCCTCCCTCGGATGGCATGCCATCTGATAGGGTTTTAGTTTTTTCCTTGCCCGGGGCAGCATGTCGTCAGGTAGTCAAAGGGTCGTCAGGCCTGACGACCCATTTCCGCAGGGATATTCCATTCGGTATGTGAGTTTGTTTTCTGGGTTGCGTAGCAAGCAACCCCAAATATTTTGCCTCACATTTTGGGAAAGTTATATATTTAATTACTCTTTCTCAAAGGGATTTTTCTAATTCCTTACTCAGGCACTCTATGCACTTACAACTCCAACTTTCGCAGTTCCAGGCTCGGTACGACGACCTCGCCCTCCGAACGAACATCGCGTCGCCTTCGGGTTTCCCAACCCCGAACCTGCACCCAACCATGCGTGGTCCCGCGACCCCCACCTAGCTAGCCTCCGCTATATCAATGTTAGGCCTCATTATTTGGTCGAGTTGTTGTATTCACTTCCGCGTTATTGAATCATGCGCACTCTTTTTAAAGCTCATAAGACTTTCCTAGGTTATCCTCGCGTTTCCGGGGTAGTTTAGTGACGGGGTGCGATAGACTTGGTGGGTTGCGAAGCGGTCGGCTGTGAAATAGATACGATTATTTCACTCCGACTACGTTAGCGTTCGCGCCTTCATCAAAGTCATAAAAATCGTTGTTAACCCCCTGCCCGTTAGGCGAAGTCTGAGAAATATGGAGCAGGCCGAGTTTAACGAGTTTTTGCAACAGTTCCGGGCGATGCAGGCGAACATGCAGACGATGTCTGCAGAGATCGAACGCCTGCGGGGGGAAAACGCCGAACTACGCCAGAAGTGCGCCAGAAGTCGCTCGTCGTGGATGAAGCAAGTAGTAGCTCCACGCCGAACGAGGTCGTCTCAGTGAGCTCAAATGCTCCTTGGATGCTGCAGACGCGATGCGGGCACAACGGCAACAGTCGCAAACAGCGCCGAGACATGCACCATCGACGACGATGGCGATGGCATCAGCAGCGGCAACAGTACCAGCGGCAGCGGCGGTTTTAACAACTGTCAATATTAAACCGACAAACCGGCCACGTTCAGCCCCAGCGATAAGAACGTCACTGTTTCCGCGTGGTTGTTCGGAGTAGAAGTTTTCTTTAATGTTGCGCAAGTTGCTGATGATGCCACCCGTATTAATTTTGCAGTATCGCTATTACGGGGACCTGCATTGGAGTGGTGGCGACGCACGTTGCAGTCAGAGGGGACTCCGGCAGGAATATCACGTGTGAACGACGGGACATCGACACCTGTCATGCAACGAGCAGCATCGATTTTCGGAGTGGCCACGATACTTTCGAAGAGAAAGGCCCCGCCCTCGCTTGGGCGCAGCCGATCTCGCCGTCGACGAGAAGTTCGCGACGGATTGGTCGACGAAATGGGCTTCTGCAGTTCGACGGAAGTTGCGGTCGAGCAGGCTCTGCTCGACAGAATCTGGTCGACGAGCTCTGCGCGACGAGCTCTGGTCGACGAAATCTGCGCGACGAGCTCCCTTCGCTGAGCGCTGGTTGACGATCCTGGTCGAAGAACTCTGGTCGAAGAACTCTGGTCGAAGAGTTCGGGTCGAGGAGCTCTGCTCGGCGAACGCTGTTCGACCGAGCGATGTCGAGCTGATCAACCGAATTCGCAGAGGTGTGCGAAAATCTGCGGAGGCGTGCGAACTTTCGCCCATGAGGTTTTGGCGAAGTTCTACCTGTGGAACGGCATCACGTGGTCGACGGTGCGCACCTGGCAAAACTGACGACACGTTTTCTACCCGGCACCTGCGCAATGTGCCTGACGGTGAAACCGCCAACCTGCACCTACTTGGTAGGTGCGCACATCTGCGCAGATAGACAACCTGCGATTGCAGATAGTTACCTGCGACTGCAGATAGTCACCTTGACTACAGTGCTGGCAGACCGCGCGCAGTGCAACGCTCGCAGACAACTCTACTGCAGCGTTGGCAAGCCGCTCCTCTGCTGCGCTGGCAGATTTCGCCCTTCCTAGGTGTTGCATGCCATTCTAGTCCTTTTGTTCTGCATGCCTCAATTGTACTATCAACTTTTCAATGCAAATTGTTCTTTCAACTTCCTTAGTGGAAACTCTTGCAAATCTTCTCTGTGAACACATCAAGCAGTAAGAACGCTAGTGCAACCTCCGTAGTCCACTCCCGCTGTGTAGTGACTCTCCGCATGGTGCGGTGAGCGTGGACGGCCCCGCGTTAGAACCTTCAGATTAACCGACTTCTGCGTTCATTACCTAAGTCGTTGGAGGCCGGCAGCCGTCTTAGTCGCCATGGTCGACCCTGTAGTCGAAGCAGGCGTAGAAGATACCCTGCAGGCGAGAGAGGCTGGTGTTCGGGCACGCCACGAGGCTGGCGGGTACGGCGAGGCGGACTTGGAGATTCTGCTCCTTGGAACTCGTGCGCAGTGGGCGCGTGAGCACCCCCCTCCCTGTGCAGAAGCGGACGACGCGTCCGCCTCTCCCCGGACCGTGCACAACGAAGGTGATGGCGGCAATGTTGTCGGCGGTGGAAGCACGAGGGTTCGCGGAGTGATTCGGCCCGCCGACGTCAGCGTTGGCGGAGTGCAGGCGCAAGTGCTGCGATCGTCTGCGACTGGAGGCAGCTCGAACGGTAACATCGATGGTCGACGTCAATCTCCTCTACGGAGTGGATTCAGGCCGACTTCGGCGACTCATGCGTCGGCTGGTCGAGACGGAGGCATCGCGCCGGCGTACGGATATTTTATTTTTTCCCGGACAAGATCGCTGTGCCGAAGCCGCTCGAAGGTCGACACGACTTGATCACGTGGATTAAATCCATCGAGCCTCAGCTGGAGATCGCCGGATTGAAGAAGTTCGTTGACGGCAATGTTGAGACGCCGGACACAGACGACTTTGAACTTTGGGCGGAATTTCGCGCTGCTCATCTACTGACCTTCATGGTCATTTCGAGGTGTTGCTCGCCTCTGGTGCAGGTCGCATTGAAGTCGTGCAGACAACGAAGTCGTGCAGACAACGAACTTTCGCACAGGAGGTTTTGGCGAAGTTCTACCTGCGGAACGGCATCACGTGGTCGACGGTGCGCACCTGGCAAAACTGACGACACGTTTTCTACCTGGCACCTGCGCAATGTGCCTAATGGTGAAACCGTCAACCTGCACCTACTTGGTAGGTGCGCACATCTGCGCAGATAGACAACCTGCGACTGCAGATAGTTACCTGCGACTGCAGATAGTCACCTGCGACTGCAGTGCTGGCAGACCGCGCGCAGTGCAACGCTGGCAGACAACTCTACTGCAGCGTTGGCAAGCCGCTCCTCTGCTGCGCTGGCAGATTTCGCATTTGCTAGGTGTTGCATGCCATTCTAGTCCTTTTGTTTTGCATGCCTCAATTGTACTATCAACTTTTCAATGCAAATTGTTCTTTCAACTTCCTTAGTGGAAACTCTTGCAAATCTTCTCTGTGAACACAGCAAGCAGTAAGAACGCTAGTGCAAACTACGATCACTCGCATAACCCCGTGCCCTCCTCTGTAGTCCACTCCCGTTGTGTAGTGACTCTCCGCAGATCCGCACATGGAAGGAGTGGGGCGCCGCCTTGTGAACCAGATTCGAGCATGTATCCGCCTCGGATTCTTCTCGCATGAAGCAACGTGCCTGGAAGTTGTTGACATCGGTCCAAGACTACACATCGACGTATTGCGCTTTGGCCGACCAAGTGGACGACACGGGCGATGCGGAGCGACTCGATAAATATGTCGCTGGCCTTAAATATGCAATACAGTTTGAGGTGCGATGTACGAGGCCGCGCGATTTCAATGGCGCCGTCAAGCTGGCCGAATCAACGGACGCGCTGATGCAGTGGGCGAGAACGAGTGCTCGGGAGGGCAATAGTTTTCGTGGATCGCCTCAACCGCCCACAATCAACGATGTGGATGCGCCGAGACGTGCCTGAGGACCGTGCTTTAATTGCAACCAACCGGGCCACTGGACGAAGGACTGTCCGAAGATGAAACAGGGGAGCACGAACGACGAAGAGGGGGAGGGAAAAGAGACGAGTCAGTAGCAATCGGGCCACCTACTGACGAGACCCCGTCGCCCGGCGATCAACATCCACACCGAGTGGTGGTACCGATATGGGCTATCGACCTCAACCGGACAAAAAAGGTGGATGAACACGTGGATCACCCTGTGCTGGTCGTGTGGAGGGTTAACGGGTATAAAATAAAAATATTCGTTGACGACCAAAACAATCAGAGTCACGTTGGACAGATGTCTGCCGGAGATCGACGCAATGCTGGTGGATGGGACACCACTGGCGATACGCGACGAGGTGCAAAAAAATCGGATGAAATGTGGCGACGATTTTGGGTTCACCATGAAGATGCTGGCGACGACGTTGGGTTCGACATTTCGGTTGTAATGTGCTGCTGGGGCGAGATTGGTTGCAGCGAATTTAAACCGACGATCAACTGGACGACATGAGCATGCACAGTGCCCGGCAACAAGGGACGTGTGACGCTTCCGAAATGGACGGAAGGGAGCCGATGACGACACGCGTCAACGCAATTACTGTTGGAGTAGGCTAGAGCTCGCTCTGGCATTTA